AAAAAAAAAAATTAAAAAAGATTTCTGTTTCTGCTTTATTGACGAATAATTGACAAACTGAGGGTCAAACAACCAACATGCGTGGCAGTGCAGGAAATATTGGAAAAACTCTGAAAAGTAGAAGCTTGTCTTTTAATCGAAAGTTTTACCTGCGATCTGAGCTGCCAGCAGCAGCAGGACGACGGAGGCGGTTCTGATCATGATTCTGCAAAAAAAACAAAACAAAAATTACTTTTCAGAAAAATGAAATGTTTTAAACCTTGGATTTAATTTCATTTTCCTAAATTTTATCAAATTATATAATCGGATTACATTTAGGGTTATCATAGCGGCGTGATGTCACATAATACACTTTATCTAAGTTATTGCAAACCTCTTAATTTGGCTCAGATAATAAATATGTTATTTTTTTCATTAAAATTGTAAAAATCATTAATTACATTTCTGCTGTTTTTCTTTTTCTTTTTATTTTATTTTATTAAATTCATTCCACTGAACAAAATCCTAATATAAATACATTTATTCCATGGCTCACAGTTTGAAACCAAACAATTACATTAGATTCTATTTCTAATTAAATATGAGCAGAATAGATTACAACAAAATGAAGATAAATCAGAAGATTTAAAGAAAAATAAGCTCAAATAATAAAAAAAAAAAGATCCTGTAAAATGAGAGTAACATTTTTGGGGTATTTTTATTTCACTTTGGTACTAAACATCTAATCTAACCCTGATGGTATAAAGAGGAGAGGAGGAAATCTTACCTGCTGATCAGCAGCGGATTCACTGTCTTCAAGACTCTCCCTTCTTCTTCTCTTATGGAAAAAAGCAGATTTGAGAGTCAAATTCGGCTCCTGGTTTGGAAGAAGTTTGCATGAGGCGGTGGCTTCAGCCTTCAGGGAGAATCTGGAAGGTTTAAAGAAGGGCTGGATTAAGGAAATCCTGGGCCCCAGGCAAAGACAGGCAGGGGGCCACTTTAATTTGAGAAGACAACACATTGAACAGACCTATTCTTCAGATGTAGAAATGTTAATAGAATAGACATCCATTATCTGTTCTAGGTTGTGTCCCTCTCTTCTTGTCCCTTTTCTTCTTGTTTTCCTCTCTATGTTTTGTACTCAGCTGACTTTTCATGCTGTCTCTAAAGGAATGAAAGATTTT